TCAGCACAGGCAGCAGGAATCTTGCTGCAGACCTCTCCAGAGCTCCACAAGCTCCTCCACGGCAGCCTGTACTGTCAGGGGAAGAATGGCTTCCAGGGGGTCTCCCCAGGTATTGTGCAAGGTCCTCCTGGTTTACAGCTTCTGAATGGCTCTCATGACGCCAGTCCTCTAGACCTCTGACTCTTTGGGCTTACTCTGTATTCTCATGTTTTCCGAGTCCTTGTTCAGCAGCTGCTCCTAAGGTGACTCTGGACCTTTCTGGTTCTCAACGGCAGAAGAAAGAGTGACCTATTGTGTGGCATGTATTCCCAGGGGTTTCTCCATGTTGGAATGATTCAGCACGTCCGAGGACGGGCCTCCGCAGCCCATGAGTGGTGGGCCAATTGTGTCATTGTTTCTCTGTGCCATGATAGTTCTCAATTGTGCGGCGGCAATTGGCTTGAGGGCTGGCACATGCCAGCACGCACCACCGTGCAGCTTCCCAGGCGCCAGAGTGTCCTCCTCCCGGGTGCCTGCGAGGCTGGCGGCCAGCCCAAAGGCCAGTACTCCCCACCGTGTGGCTTCCCGGGCACTAGGAACCCTCCTCCCTGGCCCTCTTTTTATTTTTAAAATAAAAAAAAAATAAAATCTAGACATATGAAAAATGTAAAAAAAAAAAAAAAAAAGATCAGTAAGTCTCCAGAGGAGGGAGCCCGATTCCCTCAGAGAGTAGGAGTGAGCCTTGGATTCTAACAGTCTAGGAAATGGAGTACTAGGTTCTCATCTTCATCATAATCCATCTAGAGGTCCATGTTACAACTCTTAGGAACCCCCCTTTCCCAGTCAGCACCCTCACATTCCAGTTAAGTGCACAGAGAGGTGGTAACAGCTTGTGTTGTTCTTTGGCAACCAGAATGATACCATTTGTGTTGGGAACAGACAAATGTGTTCTTTTCTACTTGCATTTGACTAAACCAATTTATGAAAGCTAAACAAAGCTAGTTGTGTTCTTTGCATTCTGAATATGGGAACTGCATGCAAAGGACACTAAACCCCATTCCCAACAGCACTTCCAAGGTTTCTATCTCCCTAGAGCAAGCTTCTAGTCCTGTTCTAGCCCCTTTCCTTCCCCTGCTCTTAACTACTGCAGAGAAAGTTTTGAGCACTGGCTCTCCTTTCAAATTGTTTACCTCATTCATGTCTCATTACCATCTCTGCTTCCATCCACCTGTGAGTCCTCTGGACAATCCTGAAGGCCCGTTAGCCATAAGGGTATCCTTAGGGGGCTTCTTTACAGATCTGTGACAAATTTCTCTAAGAAGCTTAGAGAAGCTCCATATTTATTTTATTTTAAAGAGAGTAGTAAGTGAGAAACAAACAAACAAACAAAAAATAGAACAGTAGCAGCATACCAGTATCATGAACATGAACAAATCAAAGCAAGAACATTCAAAGTGATACAGGGTCTCAAGACAAAATAATACGAATCAACAGTGGTTGATACATTACATATTGCTATCCTCAACTGCATTGCTCAGATTACCAGATGTAAGAATAGGACATTGCTCAAACCATTAAACAGAATAAGAAAATAATTCTTCAATAAAACATTAGAGATAATACAGAGTTTCACCAGACAAGAAGGTAAGAGTTCACCATGTAATTCCAGTGCATATTGTTACCTTCAAATCAGTTGCTCAGACCACCAGACACAAGCATGCAAAGTTGATCAAAATATAAAAAATTGTGAGCGTTAACTGTTCATTTCAATACACCATCAGACATCAGCAATACAGTTATCGGAGATTTTCATATATATATATATATTTATATTTTGCCTTTCTTCTTTCTTTTTTCTTCTTTTCCTCATACCAGTCATTCCTTCCCCTGAGAACTTTCTTTCCCTTTCCTATCATGTATTGTACATTTTGAGTTTTACCTAGTCTTTCAGGTTCCTACACCAAGGAGACAATATGATGTTTACACATGTGGGTCCTTATGAGTATGGTCTTTAGTTACATCCATTTACCTACAAAAGCCTCGAGTTTATTTTTTTTTATACCTGAATAATACTCCATTGCATAAAAATACCACATCTTTTTTATCCATTCCTCAGTGGATGGGCATCTGGGTTGTTTCCAAGATTTAGCTATAACAAATTGTGCTATTATAAACATGGGTGCACATATATTGCTGTGGTATGATGTCTTTAATTCTTCTGGGAAAATACCTAAAAAGGGAATAGCTGGGTTAAATGGGACTTTCAATCCTAATTTTGTGAGGAATCTCTAAACTGATTTCCACAGTGGTTTCACAAATCTACACTCCCACCAGCAGAGGAGAAGTGTTCTTTCCCCCGACAGCCTCTCCAGCATTTGTTATTGGTTGATTTCTTGATGATAGCCATTCTTTCCGGGGTGAGAGGGAGTTTCAGTGTTGTTTTAATTTTCATTTCTTGAACGGCTAATGATGTTGAGCATTTTCCCATGTATTTATTCACCATTAGTACCTCATTAGGGAAGTGTGTATTCATCTCAGATGC